ATCCATGTGGAAGGAAGAGATCGTTAATCGTTGCTCGGTAGGGATATTATAGTAATCAAAGAATTGCTTGACTTTAAACCTCCAGCCACAGGGATCCATGCCATCAAAGCAAGGGACTTCTAAATGGAAAGATTTGGGAAAAAAACTCTTGGAAGTCGATCCACGTCGCCCAGTCAAATCTGAAGATGATTCACCGAAATGTTGGTTTTGCTGGCAGGTTTGATCGAACATGTTGTTTAGAGCTGAAATCTACAAAGTAACATCTTAAAAACCACTTGTCAAAACTTCCAATTTCTCTGTTAAAGAAGTGACAGCCTTTGCCTAGGCAGATTGTAGGGCCTTAATTTTAGCAAGCTACTCATGCAAAAGACACAAGCGAGTGCCTTCAGCCATAATTAAGGAACGAGAGCACCAATGATAGGGTTTGGGATAGAATCTGTTTATATTAGGAATAGAGACCTCCAAGAACAAGAGATAGAGAGATTAATTGACAAAATTCTTTATTGATAACCACAATCTAGATTTAGGCTATTATATAGCCTTACATTTGACTCCAAATGACTCCCAAAAGGACTCTAATTGTCTAATTCAAATCTAATAAGATATTCTATCATAATTATAAAAGAATAATAAAATAACCATAATTATATCCTAATAAGATAATAGCATAATTATAAAAGACTTAACATAATAATCCTAATTGTAAAATAATCCTAACAGTTGATTACTAATCTAAGGTTATCAATGTAATTTCTCTTAAGAAATAATGAAAGAAATGATGTAATACCCCAAAAAAGTATGTCATAATGCTAGGTTCGCAACCCAATCTCACAACCCTCAACATGATAACTCGTCATTGGTTAGCACACAAATAGGCAGGCAAGATCCATACAAGTAGCCAGGACCTATTTTGCGAGCTAACCAATGACAAGTTGCCATGCTGGAGTTTGTGAGATTGGGTTGTGGACCTAGCATTACTTAAAAGCATGTCACATGACAATCATACGTTAATAAGATAAAGAATAAATAATTGATTGAGGGACCATTGCCCCCATTATATAGCATGGTCCAAAAGTCACACTAGTACTTTAATGTCGGTCACCAAATCCATAAGACCTAAAGCCTTATAATTGATGATTACTAACCATATTAGTTAGCTCTCATTTTCAAATTTTTAAAAATACCATTCAAATTGTTATTACGAGAGTAAACTAAATGTTCCCACCCAAGGTTTAGTGAAATGGCAGTTCCCACCCTTGGTTTCATAAATTTCAGATTCCCACCCTTAAATTTTAACTTTCAACTATAGCGAGGGTCACGTTAGTACACTAATGTGCCCTGTGCTCCTTTGGCTGAAAGTGGGCTCATGTTAGCAAGAATCGACTCACATTAGCATCGCCCCAACCGCCAGTTTTTGGCATTTTTCGACCTATCCCAAACTCCAAAATAATTTCTAAGACCACCGTTGGACTCCCCATAACCTCCTTTACAAAACCCATAACCCCACTTGCCATCATCACTCACTTTTCTGGCCACTTCCACACTTGCCATGTTGCAATTTTGGGTATCTTTTCTATCGTTTTCTATTCAATCAGAGAGCAACCGCCATCATTGAACTACACCAATAGACTTTCCTTGTGTTGTAGTTTGTGTGATTATGTTTTTTTGGCCGTTTCTAACTTCCTGTTTGCTAGAAATCAAAGCCCGAAGTCTCGCCCACTATTGCTCGATAAAAGGCCCAAGTTAGTTTTCCAGATTCTAACCCTTAGTTGAACAATCACTGACGGTGTTTAATTGAGGGTGAGAATCTGGAATAAATGAAACCAGGGGTGGGAACTTGCCATTTCGATAAACCTTGGGTGGGAACATGTCATTTACTCTTATTACGATGCTATAATTAATTATCGTGCTATTATAATAAATTCTTATAAGATATTATTAGATAGGGCATAGTTTTTTTAACTCTTTAATAGGAGGATCCAAACTACAAATTGTTCAATTAACAATGATTTGTTATTAATTTTAATGGAAAATAATAAAAAAACTTACATACCTTTTTTCTTACTAAATTTAGTTTATAAAAATTTAACCACTAGTCTTATGGTAGGATATAAAAACTTTAGCTATTTCGGTGGGTTACTCCTGTATGACCTTGTGTCGAGTCCTACAAAGTCGTCACCTACTACATTTGTGTCTTACTTGACCCATTGAGTTTGTAGGGTATTTAATGTACCCCGACGGAGATTAGTTGAGAGGACACCCTAGTTATCAAAATAATAATAATAAAATTTAAAAGACATATGTCAATTCACATTTGTGTCTTACGTACTTGACTCATTCGATTTGTAGAGTGTGCAATGAATCCCGGGGATGGGAATTAATGGAGGGGACACCTAGTTATCGAAATAATAATAATAATAATAATAATAATAATAATAATAATAATAATAATATTCAGAATGGTAAGTCAGTACCCATGCTAGTATAGATTTTCTCACACCTTGGGAAATAAAATCTCACTACATATATAAAACTTTTGCAACAAACTCTTGTATGTTCTTATCAGTACTTCCACCTTCATCAACTGCCTCTTTCGCCAAGTCCTTCCATTTCGTTGAATTCCTCTTAATCTCCTTCCCTCTTTCTCCTTCCATGACTTCCCTTATGCAAACCTCAATCTCCTCTCTTTTCACAATCCCTTCTCCATTCCCCCTCGCCCTCATCCCAACCCCACACATCCTCAATAAAATTGGCGTTCGTTGGCTGATCCGTCCATTGCGGCATTGCCACCATCGGCACCCTCATGCTTACCGCCTCAAGCGTCGAGTTCCACCCGCAATGTGTCATGAAACACCCCACTGACTCGTGAGCTAGAACTTCTAGCTGAGAGCACCAGCTCACCACCAAACCCTTCTCGGATGTTTCCTCCGATAAATTTTTCGGAAGCTTTTCAGATTCGGATTCCCTTACTACCCACAAGAAGAAGATGTTGCTGTTCTTTAGTCCCCATGCGATTTCTTCCATTTGGTTTTTTTCAAGGGCTGCCAGGCTTCCGAATGAAACGTAAATGACTGAGGCTGGTTGCTTTGAGTGAAGCCATTTAAGGTAGGTTTCGGTGTTTGGTTTGAAGAGGTTGAGGCCATAATCTTTGTCGTTCTTCAACCGGCTGTCTAAGTATTTTGATGGTATGGTTGGTCCGATTGCCTTGACTGGAAGTTGAGTTGCCATCCAGGTGATTGCCTGTCAGAAAGTTAGCCAATCCGAACTCATCTTCAAAGCAACATGAAGGGAGTGCAAAAATCAATTAAAAAAAAAAAAAAAGATGAATTCATTTATGAATCCGTTTTATGTTTTCTAAAAGAATTGAAATTGATTGAAAAATGTGAATTAAAGTATTAAAAGTGATTGAAAAATATGAAAAATGAAAACATAATTAACTATTTAAAAATGATAAATGGGTTTAGGTAGAATTCAAACTCTATGATATATAAACGAGCTCCAGGACAAAAGGAGCTAATCACATATATACACCATAACAATATACCGAATTAATGATGTAGGATGAATACAACCTCTAATAAAAAATATAAAAAGAAGAGAAAAAAATAGAATTATAATATTTGCATGTCTTATATAATTCTTTCAAATTAACACTTATTTTATTCGTCCTGAAGAACTTGTCTCTGATATGGTAGGGTTGATTTCCATATGCAATTTTGTGATATAATCTTGATTTGAAAATTAAGTTTTTGTTTTGTGAAAGTGGAGGGAGAAGATAAAAGAAAAAAAATAAAATTGAATTTTATATGAGAAATCTTCTCTCTTAGCTCTTATACATTCTCTATTTTGTGAAAATAAAAATGAAAGATTCATATACGAACACTGATCCCATATTTACCTCCTCTTCCAGCTTATCAAAACTGTTAAAGAATAGCCAGTTTACTTCTTCAATAGTGGAGAATTGATTGAGGTACAGGTCTATCAAAGACGGGTAAGTGCCACTTCCATTGAGAAACGATGGTAGCTCATTGATCTTGAGCGGTGGAAAAGAAGGCAGCAACACCATAGCTTGATCTTCAAAAGCATTAACTTTGCTTTTCTCTCGATAAAACTGATAATACATGGTATTACAAGAGCAAGATTGAGTGAAAAATGGAGCTCCATCGATACCGAATCTCTTCGTGATGTCTAGTGCCCACGGTATAATCGAGTCAGAAACGAGAAATTTAGGCGGGTAGTTAGAACTCATTTGATTCTCGAGGAACGCAGCGAGACTCGGTGCAACAACAGTCTTGTAATGCTCTAAATAATTTTGAGTTTCATCTCTTTCACACTCTTTGGAAGTATTAGGAATGTCCCTGAGGTCGACATCGAGGAGCTCAACATCGACGGGGCTGCAGGATTGAGTTTTGATGAGCTTACTGCTGGCTGAAATGGTGGAGACTAGAGTCACCTTGAGGCCTTTTGAGGCCAAACGTTTGTAAAATTGAAGAATAGGGTTCAAGTGACCTTGAACAGCAAAACTATAACACAAAATATGAGCTTCACTCTTCACATTTTGCTCTGAAATCTTCATTAATTTTGTTTTCTTTCCTCTTTGATGATCTCTCTTTCTTCTTGCTTGGTCCACTACAGCACAAAAGCTATAAGATTTGTTCTTATGAACTAAAAAAACAAAGAAGAGGTAATGCCAAAATGATGTGTTGAAAGGTGGTTTGCTTGCCCTTCATGATGGTAATTGATCAAAGCAAAAATTCCAAAGAGGCTTCACGTGCTTGTAGAAGATAAGAGAATACTGAATGTTTGAATGAAAATCTGGTCAGAGTAGCCACCTATATTATTAATATAAAATGTCGAGCTTCTAACTACTAAGTTAAGATCTTAACTGAGATAACAACTTAATTTGATATCAGAATATNAAACTCCATAAAAGCAATTTTATTTTCTCCAATAACGAGGTGCTCCATTAATTGTTTGAAATGATAAGACATTGAATTCATTACATCAAAACAAACAAGAGTGATTAGTTTTTACCTCTTCAAAAGTCTCCCCTTTGGCTCTAAGCAACACGAGAAAAGCACTAATTAAAGCCTCATTGGCTTCATTCAACAAAAATTCCAGCGACGCTTCAGCCTCTGTTTCCGATAAATCCACCCGACTAATCAAAGACTCAATCAACTACAAAAACACCCAAATAAAAGAACCCCACATCAGCAAAAAATCTTCAAAATCCAAAAACCAAAGTCAAACCTCACCTCATTAAATGAAGTTATCCGTGAAGCAGATTTTTCACAAACAGTTGGCAGAGCAGCAACAACAGTGGAAGGAGTGACAGTTAAGTCTCTCTTTCTTTCATTGAATTTACAGCTTGCAATACCAAGATCGAGAAACCTCGATAAAGGTAGGATGCTGCGATTAAATGAAGAGAAAGAGACGTTAACTAGAGGAGATTTAGAGAAGACTCCGATCGTCTTCGCCATTGGAACAACGTTGTCAGTGTTGGGAGAAGACTGCGAGAGACAGTGACAGCATTAGAAGTAGGTTGTTCTTGTAGGCGAAGTCGAAGGGCAACAGCCCAACAGTTTTGGCTCTTGGGTCCTGTTGTTGTAGCACGTGAGAATAGAAACTTGGTGGAGTTTACGGCTCTACGCCCATCTCGGTGAATCATTGGATTCAGTTCGCCAGATAGGTTGCGGTATTATCGATTAGGAATAAATAAATTTAAATAATTTAGTTGAATCCTAAGGGCTATTATTCCCTAACTCCCTTGAGGTTTGTAATATATCCCAAAACACCCTTTGGGCATAAGAAATTATCCATGACCGAACTCAGGGCTTCAAGCTACTAAGCACTGATTCAAGTGAGGAGTGGGGGAGAAATTGACGTAACATGAAACCTATTAGTCCGAAAACACCATGTAGAGTGTTGATGCTTGATTTTGACACCAACTATTCACATGTGTGAAGTGTTAAACAGACTTAAAAATCACACGTGATATGGAAGTGCAAAATGAGAAATGGATCGAGTAACAAATTTTAAAGTGGTTCGGATGCTTTAAGGCGAATCCTACATCCACTGTGATTATATTAATGGTTGATTACAATCAGGTCGTACTCGACAAGCAGAAATACAATAGAGAAAATAAATGTGAAGAGAGGGAAAGAGAATGTATGTGTTTAAGTGGTGGATGAGCCAATCCTGTAAAATGGAGGAGAGCCTTCTATTTATAGTTGGAGGATTCAAGCTCGTAATCATGATTCTGTGTGTTGGCAGGTGTGTTATAATTCCTAACCCACTTCCCATTGGTTGTCTGTATAAGAGATATCCTTAAATAGCGTATGGCTTCAGCAGGTGGACAATTCCCAACCATTCTTAAGCCTGGTGTTCACCTGCCTTCCTGACAATGACCTTACCCCTCTTGTCCTTGCGGGACGTGGCTGCATCCAGACGGTAGAAAACCTTCTTGAATTTGGATTGGTTTCTACTGACGTATGCTTACGCTAGCCATGGTTCTTGGGCCTAACAGAAGCCCCCCAGTTTTTAAAGTTTAAGAATTAAGCCTTGAGAACTTCATGATTATGCCGCGACTCGGTTTGTCACGGATGACGCTTGATTGTGCTGATCGAGCTGCATGGATTCCTAAGAACTGTACTTAGCGACTTGATGTGGTTTTTTATGGCAGGTTCAGCGACCTGATTCAGATCATGATCGGTGTCATATCAACATGCCCTAAGCGGCAACTTTGACTTGTGATCTCTTCAGATGTTATCCGTTACGCGTAACGGTTCACCTAACCAATAAAATATTCTTTATTCTGGCAGGCTTGTCCATTACGCAATAAGTGCTAGCCATATGCATTTAATGCGAGCCATGCTGAAATGACATTCTCCTTTAGGGCATTAAATGCAGATAGGGGCACATTTAATGTGGAGGAGGGTAACCGTGCCATCGTTTGGTTATTCCAATGGAGGGAAACGTCAACTGGTGTTTACGAAGCGTGAGGGTTACTTTTTTCGCAGATTAATGACACATGGTCATAATCAACGGTGAGAAACGTGTCCTGCCTAAACGTCGCTTGCTCAGAAAACCAACCGTCGCGTTTCCTCTATAAAACCCGAATTTGCTTCAGATTGTTGTGACATATTTCACATTCTCAGAAAGAAGAACGAAACTCTTGCAAGAATCAGCTCTCCTTCTTCCATTGATGTGCGCTATCCGTTACGACAGAAGACTCTTCCCACGCTGCCAAGAGGTAAAAAGAGTTTCTCTCTCGCTTTCTTCCATTATTCGACGGTTCTGTCCGACTTGCTTGGTAATGGCGGGCATGGGCTATCTGGTGGGTTTTTGCAGTGCGCATCCCCGGATAGTGGTGAGGAGAGGGGTTTAGTTTTCTTAAAGATGAGAAGTTTAGGGCACAGATCCTTGGGGGTTCACCCCCAAAAGGTTTTTGAGGGTTTTACTAGGGTTGTAGAAGGATGCATTAGGGTTTCCTTTGTCCTTCTACGTCACCGTACGGAACATCGTACGAGGATCGGGCCTTTTTTCTTTCTTTTATTATTATTATTATTATTTTACGTCGCCCCTTTTTCAGACCTTAGGAACAATGGACGCCTCAGCAACCAGGGGAGCCGAAGGCACAAGCTCGCAGGCACCAACTGCCTAAGCGGGTCCCATGCCAGAGACCTTATCAATGATCACCCGAGAGGAGATACAAAAGGCAATGGACCAATACGCGCTTAGTGTGAATGTCTATCAGCATAGAACCTGTACGACTGGGAATCCCCTCGAGGGAAAGGCCACGATCTTGAAGACGATCTTTAAGTGTGGCCGCTGATATCTTTTCATCATTTTGTGAGGTTGATCCTTAATCACTTTGAGGTCGCACCAATGCAGTTAACGCCCAATGTGTATATGATAGCTATTGCTATGTATATCGCATGTGGCGAGTTGACGACATTGGAGCTCATGTGCTCTTATTATCTGAAGAAGAGCAAAGGCAAAGATTCTTTCTACGTCTCGAAGCAATCTACAATCGAGGGAGGAATATTCAATTACCTCAGCAACGTTAGGGCTTATGAAACTAAGTTTTTCTTTTTTGAATATGATGGCGTCTGCCAGTTTAGGGAGCCAAGTAGGTATTTCCTTTCCATTTACGAAATGTTCCACCTTTGGTTTTTGTATCTAACAAAACTTTTTGTCTCTTCACATGAAATAGGACAACCAGGTTAGGAAATTTAATAGATTACAACTAAATCGTTGTGTTCGGCCATCTTCCTGACCATTGTCGCGACGCGAAATTGCTCGTGACCACTGCCAACTTGAGAAAGTAAAACTTTTTTAACCCAGAAGTGTCCTTAGAGTCAGGCCACGAGTATCCCCATACTTAGAATTTTTTCGGTTGCCTGCGACGACCTGTCTTACTAACATATTTCTGTGGTGCGCAATGATCATGTCGCCCAAGGTGCCGAGAAAGTTCGTGTTTTCCCGAGTCGTTACGACTGAGCCAGTCGAGGAGGTCCTTAGTGATATCCCTACAGGAGGGATACAAATTGGCGTCAAAGGGTGAACACCTCCAGAGCGACATGAGGAAGCTTCTCGGCTTGCCGCAGGTCGCACCCCCAAGCAAAAAACCATGGGCCAAAAACTAAGAAGAGAAAACAGCTACAGGTCGAGGAATCGGAGTCCGAGTCAGAGGGCGCTAGGGTGCAACCCGAGAGTTTGCGGCCTTACCAGGCTTTCTGTTCAAGCCATGCGTCGAGCGTCTCAACGATCCCCGATAGCTCAGACCGAAGAGAGGGGGAAACCGTGGTTACCTGCAAGAGAGCGGGCAAACAGTAGGTCGATGAGTTGCCAGTTCCTACGGACAATGTTCTAAAAATCAGACTGGACAATGACCCGTTCAAGGGTCCAGTTTTTGATTTGACCGGTTGGATTGGTCGGTTGGACCGTATTCTATAAAATTACATTTTAGTCCCTGAAGGTTTGAAATTAATCAAAAACACCCCTATAATACTCCCTTAAGGTTTGAAATCTATCTAAAACACCCCTATCACACGAAGATTCTGGTGAGTGATGGCAGCAGTGACGATCGACGGTCAATCGAAGCTGCAATCTTGGGGCTTTTGATGTGTAGATGCCGGCGACTCTGATGGTGGTGCTAAGGAGTTCCATCGGCGTCGGAACTCACCAGAATCAACAAAGGAAATCCAACGTCCCATAAACTTTAGGTGGACGGTGAGCGACGAAGGCTAGATGACGGCCACTGAAAATGGATGGGTTTGGTCGTGGAGATGTCATCAGGTCGAATAGGGGTGTTTTCTCCGTCGAACGATGCCAGAATCTAGGGGGATAGAGTTGCGATTGGACTGCGACTCGGCAGTATTCTAATAATACAATCGCAACTTAATCCGGTTTAATGGTAAATGCCAGTTTTTACAATATATCGGACCAAAAATACCGCCAGTTGCCGGTGGAACTGGTCTGACCAGACGGTCCAGTCCGGTTTTTAAAACACTACCTATGGAGGCAGGTACGCCAGTGTTGGACTCCATGGGGTAACTTCCAGAGCACTTGCAACTGGTGGTATATACCCTTCTGGAGTGCCAACTGGCTTCGGTCTTTGAGGAGTTCGTGGCTTCCTGGCCCACAAACTTGCTGACAACTGCCCTTTAGCTACAAAGCCAAGTAGGGCGGTCCAACCTCATCGAGGACTTCAAACTTAGTTGATTTTTTGGCCTTAATAATTTTCGAAAAAATGGGAGTTAACTCTTGCTTCCTTTCTTTTACAGACCTTGCTTGATTTGCACATGGCTCAGCAGAAGGTCAACCTGGAATATGCCGGAGGGGTCCACGACCTGAAAAAGGAGAATGCCAAATAGAAGAAGGACCTCGAGGATCAGGCTGTAGAGGCAAGGTTGTTCAACCTCCAAGCAAATCAATACCTGGCAGAGACAAACTCTGCCCTTAGCACTGTGGATTTCTAGAAGGCCGAGCTCGAAAGGAGAGGCAAAGAGGTCAAACAACTCTAGAGAACCGTAGCCAAACTCACCAAAAAGGATGGCAAGAAAGAGAAGGAGCTGAAGGTGAACTCGGAGTGTCTCGCTAAGGCGGAGGAAGAGAGAGCTCGATTATGGGAGAACTTCCAGAAGTAGAGGAGAGTGCTGGAAATGGACCTCGAGCTCTCCTAAGGGCGGGTCGCTTCATTGACTGACCAGATGAAGTGACAAAACCTTGAGCTTGAAAGGAAAGCCGCTGACTGGCAATTCAGGCCATTTATACCTTGCAACCAAGGAACTCGGGAATGGATCTCTCCGACCTCCCGCCTGATTATCAAGACATTCTTGCTTCCATGGTCTAAGCTGACGACGAGGCCAGGGAACAAGAGCCCCCTTTGGAGGATGATCAGCTAGAGGAATATGTTCCTGAGGATCCAGCGGTTGACCTGATAGCCGGCGACCAACTGGGAGATGACGAGGTCATGCCCACAGATTTTGGAAGTGGAGGCTAGTGATCACTTTTTTCTATTTTTTTTTTTGTTTTGTTTTGGACTCTTTTCTTTTTGGCTGTCCACTGTGCTTCTGTAAATCATAAATGAAAAGAGTTTTCTTTAGACTTTTACAATTTCGACTACTTTACAAAACTAACATTACATCTTATCAAGAAACTTGTAAAAAAATTAC